ATATAAATATATAATCTGTACATCTAGAACAGCTTTCCCCAGCCCTTCATCTCTACTTGAGCCTTCTCCAAGCAGCTTGCATTTTACATGTACACCCAGATAAGACTATCTCTGGGGATTCAATCATCAGAGGAAGTTGAAGTATATCACATGTGATGCTCAAGGGAGAAGAGTCTCTTGGCCAGATTTTTTTGCCCAGGCAACATGTTCTTGACCAAGAGTTTTGTTTCCCTAAGACACCAGTCTGACGGGAAAAGGAGGTATCTGCATAACATATATGTTACTCTCATATATGCTACTCTTGCACTGGTGAAATCAGTCATCACGAGTCTTCAGTAAAGAGTTCATAGCCATCCCACATGCCCTCTACTGAAAGCTTTCTGCTAATCAGGAGTCCCAGCAAAACCACTTCTCAACACTCACATCAGCTCAGCAGGGTTCTCAAGAGCACTTCTTTGGGCAAACTCTTTTCTGCAGTGCCCACTGAGCTCAAGTAATAACTGTGCAACCATCACATGCCCCACGTGAAGTTTTGTCCTGACCTCACTTCTAGAAAGAAAAGGAGGTGGTGGCAGTGTCACTCCTCCAGTTCATTCAGCACTGGGCTTCTAAGATGAGAATGAATCAGTGAGAAACCAATTAGGTGGCTGCGTGTAACAAGAAGACATGCTGCTTATATTTGAGCAGCTAAATCTCAGCATCCAGCCTGACCAGCTTGGCTGGACCGGAGGTAAAAGGCTCCATTATCCATCCCCTGAGGTTTGCAGTTCCTTCAGATGAAGTGTCTGTTCACCACACAGATTTCCACTAAGAGAATATGGAGAAAGCTCTTCCTATTGTTTAGACAGATTGTGCCTTTTTATTTAATTTTATGCAGTAAGTCATCTGGTAATAACATAATATCAGTGAAAAAGAATGAGACTAGAAGATGGCCTCCTGCTTTGAAAATAAACATCTTGGCTGCACCAAGCCTTTTTACTAGCAGCAGGAGCTGATTATACAGCCCCTGTTCAACTCCATTGGCTTTATCTCAATTAATGAATATTGGGCAAGTGAGGCACATATATCAGCCTCTTCTGCAAAATGATTTAAGTCTCTCCTCCTCCAGGAAACCTGCATTAAGGCTCTTTGCCCCTATTCCCCCTCCTCTTCCTTAATGCAGTGCATTTTATCTACAAAGCAAGGACATCTCTCCAGCTAAAAACATGACAACAACAATAATGTACTTAATCAGATTATTCTCAGCTCCATTAACTCTATTTAGATTTCCAAACAGCAATTAATACACAAACAGGAACATTAACATACTAGTTGCCCAGTACCCACTAGTTATTTTTCTGTGAAAACTCCTATAACCACCAACAAAAAAGCACTGCAGATATGCAAACCCAGATGACTCAGTCCTAATCTGAATGCTAGAGCACAGGGCTGGGAATATTACAACACATATTTAAAAACAACAACTAAACGTAGTGGTTAAAAGGAAAAAATTACCCAGCACTACAATGCTTAGGATTAGTTGTTGGTTCTTATATCCTTAAAAATGGACGGTAGCTCCTAGCCCAGTATGCCATGTCCTAGCACTGCCCAAATGCAGACACCTCGGCGAGACTGAAAACACCAGTGCCCTCTCAGCCCAGCTTCAGCTCAAGTGATTCCCAAGGCAAACGTCATTCCTACATGTAAGGTATCTCCCAATGGATTCTTCTTCCATGGACTTCCTGAGCCATCCACTCACACCCTTAGTCATCCCTTTTCTGAACTTTTCTGATACACTCTGGTGAAACTAGCTGGAGCAACCCTGAAGTGTTTCGGCCTCATCTGTCTCTACAGCTCTTAACATCGGAAAGCATCACTCACACAGCAGAGGCAACCACCAGAGTGTGAAGGGCCTGGGCACGAGAACTGGGAGCCTTCCAACAGAGCAGCCTCCTCCAAGAGGACAGCATCGGTGCTGGCTCCCAGCTGCCTGCCCTGTCTCCGAACTCATCACCCTCGTTGTATACATGGTTCAACCGATCACAAAGCACCTGCTACAATTTACAGCCAAGCATGTTAAGGGATACCAACACTTATTTCAGACTTCTAAAGATGTTTCTAAGGAGCCATTGTTGGGATTAAAGGGGTCACTGAGCAGTGCCACATTGCAGTCCCCGTGTTAGGATTTTTCTTCCTGCTCAAGTGCTCAGGATGGTCGCGACATCAGGGACCAAGAGCTATTTTTGTAGCTCTGTGATCACAAACTATGACACAGCAGTGAAAATCCACATGGGAAGGCAGAACATCCAATCATCTCCCAACCAGCTGCCTAGTGTGATGGTAGGCTCAGAAGTTAAACCGATTTCCTTCTGAAAAAAAAGGAAAAGTCGCTCACGAACGCTCAGCGGCTGCCTAACAGCAGGGAGCTGACACACCAGCAACCCACAGAAGGGGCCACCCTTCCAACTCAAGCCTGTGACAACACCTGCTCTTCCTCCTCTTCAGCGTTTTGCTTAGACCCATTCACTGTTATTTATGGAGCCTTAACAACTGTCATAGCTGGCGCTGCTGCCAGAACAGAGCCTGATTTCAGCCGGGGGAGTTGGCTGTCACTGCGAGGGGAAGCAGGAGGAGGGACAGGAATGTCACTCCTGCACTCACCGTTAGCCTCTAAATGAATGATACTGATTAACAAAAAACTGCAGGAGACAAGCAGACCAGGACAACTGAAATGGAGAAGCAGCATGAAGGGGCATTTCTTCAGTTTCACAAGGTCAATCTAATTGTTACCAAACATGCTCCAGAGCTGATTTGGGTTACCAAATTATTACACAGCCAGCATTAGCATCAGGTATTTCCCCTTGGCCTCACTGACCCATTTGCCTCCTTGAACGACTAGGAGACTAACTTGATACCTGAAGCCACATCTTTGTCACCTTCACAGCCAAGAAAGGATTTTCATCTTGTGTGGTGTTAAACACCCATTCTCTTCCCTTATTGCATTTCTTTGTTACAAAGAGAGCTGCCTGACTATCTTCTCCTTCCCACGAAATCAATAAATAAGGCATTCAAAAAACTAAGCTGTAGGGTAGTAATATCAACCTGTACATACTCTTTCATACTACCCTTTGCCTCCAGACAAACATTTCTTACTGCTTCCAATCCCTGCATCCTGAGCCATAGCTACATATCTGATTTCCTATCTGTTGCACAGTAAGAGGCAGCATTTGGCTAAGGACACAGCCATACACCAGACCTTCTGTACAGAAGGCAAAGTCTGTCTGATTCCACTAAATAAGAACCAGGAAAACCACAAGTGGCTCCTTTTGCAAATCAGTGTCGTTGCTTATTTGTGTTATCATACAGAGAACTATACAGAGGAACTAGCAGGGGAGAGAAGGTAGGAGAAAAGTTAACTTTGTTATCTAAGCAGCAAATTCAGTCCTGAAAAACACTTTTCCTTTTTAGCACTTATGGAATCTCTGATGGCAGGTGCTCAACACTTTTATGTTAACCCACAGTTCTGAAAGCCACTTTTGCCTCCCCTGAGGTCCAAATTGGAGGCAACCAACCACTTCAGTCTAAATTAGGAGCAACAAACCCAAACTCCATCAATGCTTCAGCTGGCTGCCACTGAGATGCAGGCACATTGCTTTAAATGGCACAGGATAAACAAAGCAGTCAAAATACTGCATTTATAATGGAAAGGGAAATTCATACTTCTCTTTGTGGCTGTTTCCATTCATTTACCATTTAAACTAGCTTTAAAGAGACTCCTATTTATAGCCGCCATTAAGAGAGAAAGTGATGTATGTTTCTTGATAACAGATATAAAAATAAGTTTTCTAGATTCAGGAATACAGACCTAAGAGCAAGTTTTAAAAATGATGAATCAAACTGCACACTGATATTGCCGCAGTTCTGTCAGTTAGAGCAGAGAGCAAGATTCAAGAGTGATATATTTAAAGCAACATAATCCAGGGACTTCTGTTCCATCTTCACAGTTATTTCCACTAAGGGCCAAGACAGAAGAAAAGTTCTGAGGGCTTTGACCCAGAAGAGCATACACATGCACTTCTGACGAGGGTACAAATACTTCTTTGGGAAGAAGAATGGTTTTCCATAGCTCCACACGCATCTGCTTTCCCCACTGTATGCAAGCTCCTCTGTCCCAAACAATGCCTTAAATTCTCAGCCACTGCCACGCTCCTGTGTGACAGCTGTACCCCATGCCAAAGGCAGTCCCAGCACTTACCAGCACTAAGCACTGCATTCTCTTCGACCACTTTGGAGACGTAAGCATCGGGGTTAATACAGAAGTCACTGGAGCCCTAGACAGACGCAAAGCAAAAAGGAAAAAGAACATCAAAGAACACCAATATCAAAGAGCAGTTCAGACAGGATAGTATCAGGGAACCCTCTAATAAGGAGGTGTTTCCAATGCCGAAGTCTCTCATCGTCATCCCCACTAGCACTGCTTTACACAACTGCAGCCGTGCTGGAGTACCAGCTAGCACACCACTCCATGGAGGAAGGAGGAGCTCTGCACTTTCCATAGATGCAAATTGCTAGGCCAGCTACTTGGAACAAGACGCACTATAAAACAGGCACAGTGTAACATGAATCTCCTGTCGGATAAACCTGCAGCAAAGGGTGAATGGGACTTGGATCAGAGCCACTTACCACAGCGACAGCCAACTCCAGACCCAGGGATCCCCAGCTGACAATCAGGGCAAACACCCCAAGCAAGCACACCCTGTGGGAGACAGACAGATGGCAGATGTAGAAGCTCTGATTTCAAGCAGATCCTTTCACAAGATGTATTATTTGGAGTCCAAAGTAATTACCAAACCCAAGAAATTCACAACTACTTTATCTTCAGAGAAACCATCCAATTTTACATGTCATGGACAGCTGCAACCCCAGAACTCTATGTCCAGTCATTAGTTCCCATGTTACCTGGCCCTGAGGCTGCAGGGGAAGGAAGAAGAGGGTGGAAGCAAAGTCTTACTCTGCTTCTAGCAGTGAAGGCAAACAAAGACATAGGGGTAGCCATAAGGAAGGCAGATTGGCAGATGGATGACTAATATCCCACCACTTCCACTACCCCTACGCTGGACTTCATTGTAAGTCCAAAGATATTCAAAAGAAAATATCTCATATTAAAAAAACACCACCAAAAACATACTGATACAAAATTGGACAAATCCATCCTGTTCCTAGAATAAATGAGTTTAAGGGTAAGCACTGCACGGCTACAGACGGTGGGAAGGAACACTCAGCCTGTGTTAGGACACCTGACTGGTTCCAAGTTGCGTCCATCTGAACAGCACCTAAGCATCCCATATAACCCAAGAGACAGTCACCTGCAGGCAAACAGTTCAGAGCAATGGTTTAGGTGCCTACCACAGCCATGTGAGTGAATTGCTGCACAGATTTAAAAGTTATGTTCTGACAGCTGGACCTCATTACCAGCAGAAATAGTGGGAAGTGTTTGCTGTCAAGCAGACACGAGGCAGAGGGATGACAGAGCAGTGGTCTCGCTGACATTCAGCTGACACATACTGGTGGAAAAGGCTTTTGCACTTCCCCAACCAGCACATTAGCTCTTCCCCTTTGCTGTCACATGAGTACTTAGGCAAAAGTGCTCCTCAGCTCCCTCAGGTATGGGCATGCAGACTAATAAGCAACTTCATTTTATGTATCCTTATTTTCAAAGGACACTGGCTTACTCTCTCAGGGATGCTTTTTCCTTCAGGGTTTGGAACACAAGCAGGTTCCTCCTGCCCACCCCCTGAAGAAAACAAAACAAAACCCTGTTCATAACCAAGATATTCTCTATTCAAACCTAGCGCAAGCATCTCTGTGAGGAAGGGACGTACATGTTTTCTGCTACATTTGTCTCATTGAAGACTAGAGCTTTAAGAACATAAACCTATGGGCCTGCAGTTAAAAAAAAAAAAAATCTATCCCTAAGTTTACAAACTTATTTTCATTCTGAGTAATCCCTATGCTGTGAATGGATCTGTCTCTCATCTTACAGAAGCGATAGAGCTTCACCAGACTGACCTCTGTGCAGCACTCTGCAATTAGATGGCTAAAAGAGTTTACTATGTTTTTTCCAAATAGATGAAAAAATTATCAGCCATGAACTAGCAAGGTTCTGTGGTTTTATGACATAAGGACAACACAGCTTGGTGCCTCCAGCTGAGCAAGATAATCAATTCAGTGAGACATGTTTGTTGTTTTACTTTAAATGAAGATGACTGGGTCAGTCACTGATTGCTTGGCTAAAAGATCTAAAACTGGCATTTCACCATCTTCCTTGGCTGTGATACACTTGCTTCTTTATGCCATGTGGTCCCTTTGGGGAATGCCTTGATATGAACTTCTAGCTAACAGGGAATGAGATTCTAATTTCAACCCTGGGTTTACCATCTGTGCATACACTTGGACTTTTGTCTGTATAACCTGCCAGGTATGAAGTCATCTGGCAAATAATAAATCTGAATACGCATTCCAATTATTAATGGCATCACCATGTAGCAGGATAAACTCTTGGCCATGTCAGCTGTCAAACTGTCACTGTGTTTATGATACCGGTATCGTTGCCAAATACACTAGGCTAAAGCAAGCTACAAGATAGGGTGAGGAATATTTATTTCTTATAATGGGCCACCCTGATCATGGCAGCAATTGCAGTGATTTTTAGAAATAGACACCCATTAATATTGCGGTACCATGGCAACAAGACTCCTCCTAACTGTACAAACAATTGCTTGTTCGCAGTTTAACGCTTCTTTAGGTGTGACAGCCAGAGGTAAACAAGAGCAGATCGTGACACAAAAGGCACGCTACCATGCAATGCTTATCATCTATTAACAAATGCCTTCATGACTGTAGAGACTTAAAGGGAGATTTTTAAAGCCTGTACACATTTAAGGGAGGATGTTCACATTACTGCTTCCCAGCAAAGAGAGGCTACCAACGCTACCCAGCAAAGAGCAGACAGCACTGACGAGTTCCTTGTCTTTGATGCAAAAGCAATGGACACCAGTACCATTGCATTTTATAACTCAAGAACCTTCCTGTGTACGTCCCTCATGTAGCCCTAATCCTATCCACAGAGCTACACTCTACAAAGTCTCTCCACACTGAGAGGCAAATTTAACCTGTTTGGTTCCAGAAGTCCTTGAAATCAACTGACAAAAGGTCTAGAGGTTTAAACTAGCAGACACATGCATTCAGCTGACCTTCTTTCACACCTTGCGCCTGGGTCAGGACTTACCCCATAAGAATGGCCCTGGAGTTTCTAATGAGCCCAAAGAGCACCAGCAAACATATCAGGACATGGAACAGGAGCAGGCCCAGGTACCCCAGCCACCTGCAGCAAGAAAAACCAACACATAGCCTGCAAAGGAAAACTGGTGTATAAAAGGCACAGATCAAGAAACTAGTGTGACTGGTGGGAAAAGTGTAGCCCTTCTTTTCTTCAAGTAAAAGCCATCACTAATGATTAATCTCCAGAGAGCTCTGGATGTTTGCTGGGTCTGGAGTCGAAGCAGGTAAAAGCATTTACACAACAACCCCGGCATACACAGTTGTTGGGAACACAACTGGGCACCACCAGGTGAAGAACCGGCATTACAGCTTCTTGAACTTCCTAGACATTTGTTTGTAAATGCTTCACTTACTCCGCATGCATGGAGAGAGATTTTCTTTTGTGGAATGCATTGGATGCAATCTTTTATTGAAGACATTGAATAAAAAGGAATGTTAGGGCATGGCATGAACATATGGATCTAGTTCAGTTTTCCACTCCATTTATTTGGAGTGTAATACAACTACAACACACTTACTAGGACGCATGAGTAGCTCGCTCTGTAGCTGCTTTTTTCCCCCCAGTGTTAAAATACAAGCTACAGATATTCTACATCAAGAAAAAGTTTCCCTTCAGGTGGTAGTAAACAGTTAAAAAAGTTGTAGCCATGCATTTTGATTTAAACGGAATGCAATTTTGCCTTAAGAAATAGATCAGCTGGGTGGGTCATGATCACCTGCAGTAATATATACAGCCTTTGGGTCAGTCACCCAGGACACACACACCACTGCTGCAGAACAGGCCAAAACAGATGCTAAAACCTACACTACAGCATGCTACACACCTGTACCAGTCATAGAGGTCAATCTGAATTGCCAGCTCTTCCAGAGACAGATCTTCATTCTTCCAGAAGGGGATCTCAGTTGTTTGCCTGACCAGATTATCCAAGAGACCTTGCAGTTTCTGGATCACATGCAGGTAGTCCGTCTGTTTCGTGAACATCTCCTCCAGAACGAGCAAGTTGGGTTCCACTGTTTGATTCAGGGCCACTGCAGTATCTAGTACCTATGGTACGGCAAAGAAAAAACACCTAAGGACAGGACATCAAAAAGGACAGGAAGTCGAGGAAGTAAAAGAGGATTCATCCCTACTAGCATGTTACAGACAGCTTCCAGGTTACGAGTCCTGTCTTAAGAGGCTCGGACTGCCTACCCTTCAAAAGCAACTTGTAGGCAGCTAAAAAGTAGACTGTGAGTAGTCCAGTGATGGCATCCCAGATGAGCCTTTAACACATGTACACTTTTTGCATCCATCAGGGTTGCAGAATGATACCACGAAATTAGAGGTAGCACAGCAACAACTGATTGTACTAAAATGATGCATTTTACTAGGAGACTGGTCTGCTTTGGCCTGCCTCCTCTTCCGGGTGTGGAAGAGAGCTGATCAGAAGCTGTTTTTAAATCTAGCAAAGAGAAGACTTCATTTAACAAGCTGTGTTTGCTTTGATATTTTTAGAAGAGCTGAGGAAAGCACCACTCCATTAACGGAAAATTTTAGCACATGTCTAAGCCCAGAGACTAACAAAAAAGAGGAACAGATACAGGCACAGCCAGATTCAAGAGAAGAGGTGCTGAGCAAGTTTGCTTATTCCCATACTCCTCAATTGCTAGCATCTCTCCTAGTACTTACCCGGTCTTGGACACCTGCCACAGTGCGGTTTGCATGGCGTAGAGAGTACGTCAGCCGGTGAATGCCATCACTGGTCTCCCCATTCCCATAGAAGCCAACAGCAATTCCAGCACTGCAGAGAAAGAAAGCAAGAAGGGGTAGTTAAAGCTAAAAGACAAGCTATATAATGCATGGCTTATTTCTACAGAGCCCTCTGTAGTCACATCAGCACTGTCCACAGAAAGAGGAGCTGTGTGCCTCCACAAAGGGTAGCTGGGGTAGTCCACTAAAAAAATTAACCTGTAAACATTCGCCTGTGTTTTCCACACAGTCACCAAATCTCTGCTTGTCATCCATATGCTGAAGAGCAGAACACCATCCCTTCTCAATAGAGATGTTTCATTTATGGTGCAGGTCTAGCCATGGGCAACTAGAAATCCAGCCAGCCCAGCAGCTCTCCTGTGGCTCCAGCTACAATGGTAGCCAGAGCTACCACTGCTACGTCAAGAGAAGCATCCATTCTCTGGACATGAAATATAGATTGTTTCATTCCATTTTTTTTAAAAACAGGACACAGAGCTTGCGTAGACAACCTGCCCATGGTGACGGTTCCTGTAGATACACTACCCATGCTGTACACTGTGAAATATCTATGATCATCATCTATCTTGATTTATCTTCCCATTAGAAGCATTTGTGTCGCCCTGATTTAGAGTACTGCGAAGGAAGGCTTAATAACTTACTGAGACAAAAGGCTTATTTATTTTTAAAGCAAGTTTATTTCAAGCTTGCAGACACAATTCAACTCCAGCTGCTTAGCAAATTACCACCTATCAGCTGATTTGCCATAACTGTCCACACATATCAGTCTGCCCCAATTATGAAGTGAACCATATTAGCTTAAGCTTCTTAAAGGACGAAGATCCTGTAAATAAGTTGCAACGAGGAAATTATCTCATGTAAGTCAGCGATACCTCTTCTATTAAGACATTGCTGCAGGAACTCACAGGTCCTCTTCCCAAGCCCATTTTTCCTAATAATGGAAGAAAGAACTTGTGCAAGGGTCATACCTAAACTCAGAGCAAATAAACGTTACCAAGATAGAAATTGCCTATTCTTCCGTCATATTTAGCTACCCAGAATATTTTCTGGGAAGGTTCTCAAGACACCAAGGTTGTGTTTGTGGTAGTGGAAAGGAAGGTGGAGGTGGTGGTGGTTTTGGTGTAAATCTAAAGTTATTCCAGATAACACATTTAGTTTCTTCACAACACCTTTGTGCTCGAGTTACAGCACTGCCCTCACAGAGCTGGTTTGAAAGGGGAATAAAAGAGGAAGGAAACAAGCCAAAAACCAGCTTTCAGAATAAGTAAGCATAGTGCCCCTGTTTAACAGGAAGGGTCACTGAAGGACGTTAGGCATTCTCACCACCATCACCACCCAGGTGGGAAATGAACCCAAGCAAGCAGGCCAGAGCGCGCTTCGTCTAGATAACAGACCCTTGCACAGATTTGTTTCAGCGCACACATCAACATGCAGTCCAAATAACTTTGTGCTTTTGCTCGTCTCCAGCAGGAAGACAGCATCTATCCTGGGCTCATCCACTCCTAAACAGTGAGCAGAATGATACAGTTCACCTGGTTGTGTTTCTACTTTCTCCTCATACATACCAGAAATGGAAGCAAGATCATGCACTGGAAGTGGATCCACTATAAAAATCTGTGTTGGCCTCAGGGTTTTTCCAACAACTGGATCTCCTACAGAGAGCTTGGCCCATAAAAGCCCCAGCTGAATAGTCTTCAGGGACACTAGGCAGCCTACTCCATATACAGAAGGAGAGGCAGCAGGCGTGTAACTCTTAATATTTAGTACTAATACAAGAAATCAGCCTCTCCTTTCAGGAGCACCACTCCTCAAACATTATTCTAATGCAAATGATGCTGATAATTAAAGAGAAAAAAGCCCTCTGCATTCCTCCCTGGTTGCAGCTATTATCAGAGCTTGATAATGCATGCCGAGGATGCACAGGGGCGGAGGGGATAAGACAGACATTCACACAGCCCTCCCCCTGAACTAGAGATTACAGATCCAGAGCTCTGTCCAGGATAAGGCAACTCACCATCCTGTTACAGCAATTACAAAACTCTGGCTTGAATTTCCCCTTGTCTTATCAGAGCAAACCAATTCAGACAGACACTTTTCACTCTCCTGAGCAGCAGAAAAACTTAAGCAGTTGTTTCTACTATAGACACCAAGTAAGTTCCAGAACATTCTTGACATTGAATATGCAGATCTGACCCCTTTAACTGGTGGGTGTTTTTTATTCAGCGTGTTACAGCTACTAGAAGCCTATTCTTTCAGCAAAGGCTTGGTAAGTGCCCAAAACCTGCTGCTTGACTCTCAGTATTCCCAGCACAGTAGCATTGCTTTGGTGGAAGAGACTCAGAAACAGCACTTGGAAGCAGCAGCAGTCATCCTGCCCTTGGAGATGCAGCACTGCTAGGTATATTAGTCAGTTTACTCCAAGGTACAACTTATCAAGTGCTCGCAACTACAGGCAAGTGACTTCATTACCCGACTCAGGGCAGAACTACCCCTGCAGCTATCCTGGCAGGCTTCCTACCCAGCCCTGCACAAACCACAGCTCTGACTGCCCTTAACCCTCTAGGCACAGTCACTACTCCTGAAAGCAAACACTAGAGCAGCAGGAGTTGGGTTAAAAGCCATTGAATTCAAGTAACAAATTCCTCTAGACATGCATAAAGCTTTAACTATTACACTACTGCCCAGCAAAGCCATCTCTGCATTCACACCTTGCACTAGCAACGGCCACTTACACAGCCATTCCTTCTCGCCGGAGCAAGCTGTACAGTTTTGTGGCAGTTCCCCTTTCTATCATGCTAGAGAGGGTAGGAAACCATCCCTGAAGCCCAGCAGCACAGGCTGGGGGCAGCTGCCCAGACGCCCGCTGCCTCTGAGGGGCAGAGCTGAAGTGGGAGAAACAGGAGACAGCCACTGATGTCAAGTTTCCTGTTTGTATTTGGCTTCATCTAAATCCAACAGTTGTTTCAAATCCCTGCCTACACACACTGGTTTAAGTTGCTATTGTTTAAAGCAGATTTAAGGATTTGCACTAGTTTTTAACTACCTTTTATTTGATTAAAGGGAAACAGAGGGGCTCCTTAGATTTAAGCACATTCTTTTAAAGTAAAAATAGATCAACTCATCTTAACCCAACAGAGTAAGTCCTTGAGGTCGGGACAAATCACATGGCTCCTTGCACAAACCCTGGGAGGCTCTGTAGCCTAAGATACAGCAACTGCATCTCCCAGTACAGGATGACAAATCCGTCACCCAGTGGGGAAGCCTGCATTTCTGTCACGCAGCATGGATACAAGAACAGCGTCCCTGGGTGACACAGCTTTTTCCACCCTAGCACCCTCTGGAAGGTACTCCAATGCATTTTCAATGCTTCTACAGAAAAGTCACCTCCACTTCTGCTATTCTTGCTTCTGCTGCGCTCCACAGCACATACATCTCTCCTGACTCACACTGTCCCATCCTCAGTTTGTCATCCCAAACCTACCTTTGTCAGTCTCCTGTCCCTTCCACTATCCCAACCACTCACCAGCCTTCTTGCTAGTATATTTAATTTAAAAAAAAAAAAAAAAAAATCAAACTACCAAGCTCTACAGGCCATTGCCATTAAAAAGTTGTTCCTGCTGCTCAGTACTGTATTTAGAGAAACAGCACACGATACCAGCTCTTTGAAGAGTTATATGATGCAAAACAGAAGAGCAGCATGCCATGATTTTTATGTATTCCTACAGATACAACGGTACGATTTGGAACACTTGAGTATCACTTCTCAGCAAGACTCAAGAAATGCAAGTCTGGAGAACAGCTTTCCTATTTTTTTGTATGCAAGAGTCACATGGGCTTAGGATATGCACTGATAAAGAACCAGAATAGAAAAATCAAGTGTAATTTCTAAACATTTTGCAATGTGACCCACAAAAAACGTTTTCTGGATTACATGAGGTATACATATACAGTAGAGTGTTAATCTGATACAGAGAACATATGCATGTCTTCTGGTGGGGAGATCCTTCCGTTGTAATACCCACACACTCACTGAAAACCCTCTTGGGTACCCAAGTCATCAGTCTGAAGAGATGAACACTAGCCATTCACATCACATCCTTAGAAACGCATAATCTAACTACACCAAGTCATCTTTAATTACAGGAACTTCATAAGGAGAGCCCTTTTTAGACTTCATGTTCTCAGGAGGAATGTTAATTTGTCTGTCTAAT